GCCTGTCCTGAAATTGGAGTCAGTGCTCGAACTGCCCATCCAATGTTCCTGTTTGGGCTCAAAGTGTAACTTGGACTCCTTTCTCTGACAGGACCCCTGAAGAAAGATGACGGAGACCTGCAGAGAGCTGTAAGTACACAGAGGTGGGGCTGAAACTCTGGGAGTTGTGGCTTCCCCCACTCCAGTCTGACTCTCTGCTCTCCTGCAGTGTCTCATTGAGGCAGTGACAATCATGGACATCATCTGCAAGCAGGACTCCTCCTATGTGTACCGTGCTGTCTCCTTCCTGAAAATCCTACATGGCAGGATTTGTGGGGATCCCACTTATGCCAGGGCACTACTGCCCATTGCCCAGTTCTTTCTGAACCACAGTAAGTCATCAGCTCCCACTCCCTCATCCACAATCTAGTCTTGCATACTCTAGCACAGCCTTTTGTCCTGGCAGTTTGCTGGCTCCCAGAGTTGGTAATTCCACCTTGGCTGTACTCTGGGATGGATGATCCCACTCCGGGAGACCCCAGAGCTGAGGGGTCCCATGCTCTTTAGAAAAACATAACCCAGGTCTAGCTTAGCCCCTGGGGCCTGTGTTGGCAGAGCTGCTGGGTGGGCTGTGCTCAGCAATGTGCTGTGTCCTCCCAGGCAAACTGGCAGCTGTGGATTTGGATGCAATCTACAAACACTTGTTCACTGATATCCCGGCCCAGCTCTTCCACAACCCATCACTGGCCTTCGAATTTGTCCAGTTCTGCAAAGACAACAGCCAGCTCTTCACGGACACCTCCAGCATATTCAGACAGAGCTTCCCAAATCTCTTCAAGGTACAGCTTGCTGGAGCAGCAGAGGGGAGAGCCTGCTTCACATTCCTTTCTGTGCCCCAGAACTTCCTCTTTGTGCCCCAGAGCCCTCCAAGTGCCTCCATGGCAGCGCCAGGGAGAGCACAGGCAAGAGGGACTGTTATAGAGTTTTAAAGAGGGAAGAGGGTTCTGGGTGTGTTTAGCATTGCCAGGAGGGGAGAGTCTGTGTTAACAGGACTGCCAGTGGGTTGGGAAGCACAGTGAACACAGGACACAGCACTGTTCCTGGAAAAGTTTAGTAGGTTGCAGCTTACCAGCCACTGAAGCAGCTGCCAGAGGCCTGTGCTGAGCTTCCGGCAGCCTCCTGGGTTTTGACCAAACCCTCAGATTTCTCTGGTTTTGCTTTTCAGAAGTGGTTTTCCCTTCCCCATCCCTTCTGTCACAGCATGGAATTGTCTGGGTGTGTGGTGGGGTAGCAGGGATAGTGCAGCAGTTTTTGCTTGTTCCTTGCAGTTCCTGGCATGGAACAGCCCACCTCTTATCTCAGAGTTTGTGGACCTTCTCCCATTTCTGCTGGATGCAGGCACAGCCATTGAGATCTTCCATTTGCTGCTTGACCTGCCCTGTCTGACAGCAGCTCTGGACATCCAGCTCAGGTAATGCACCTTCCCTTCCTCTCACTTGCTCATCAGAGTCTTGACATTGACCATAGCCCAGTACAGTCTTCTCTGAGCCCCAGCTTTCCTCTGGCTGCTGCTGTCACAGATCTACAGTCAGGTTAACACAAAGCTGGACTGTCTCTGGGGCTCAGGGAGCTGTTGTTATTCCCCTCTCCCTGTCCAGCTCCAAATGGTTGCCACATGCTGGGTCTACCATGAGACAGCACCTCAGCACAGAGGTGGGGGCTACCTGATCTTCCCTCCCTGCTCTTACCCCCCTTTTCTGGCTTTGTTCCCCTGAAGGCATACAGAGGTTTCTTCCTGAGGTCATTAGGAACTGTGAGTCTCCAGGAAGATGAAATAGGACTGGAACTGGCTGTACTTCTGCTCTTCCTTGTCCTCCCAACATCAACAGCTCTGTCTGGAGTGCTTAGAAAAGAGAGGCATCCAAGAGGCAGATGTTGGTGGGCTTGGGTGACTGAGGGTGCAGAGTGCCATTTTTCCCTTTCCCAGGAGTGATACAGAAGCGAGTCTGGAACTGTTGCCTGAGCATGGGGAGGGTCTGAGCTCATAATTTTCTGTCATCCTGATTGTCGTCCAGAGGGCCTGGACTAACCAAGTTGCTGTCACTGGTTCAGTGTTCAGTGTTCATGATTCCAGCTGTGTCCTGGACTGTTCTCATAATGCAGCATGTTCTGTGTGTGTTTCCTGCCAGGGCAGCTGCTTTTCCTACCTCTGAGAAGGCCACAAGTGACCCAGCTGTGAAACCAACCACCTGCCTGGAAGCCTTTCGTCATCCCCTCTACAAGAGCACATTCCAGTATCTTCTCCGCACCAAATCTGCTCCCGAGGACACCCCAGAGAGGTGGGAGCCTGCCACCAGAGTGTGGTTCAGCCATTCAGCTCTGGGAGGCAGCACTGGGATTACTGGGAAAGGCACAGCCACTCTCAGGCTGGGGTGAGGTGGATTTCCCTGTGTCAGCTTTGCCAGCACTCAGAGGCCATGTGGGGAATAGGGAAGGGCAGCCAGGAGAGTAGCTGGGAACAAGCCTTCAGCAGTAACTCTTCTCTTGCCCACAGTCTGATTCCACTTCGGCAGCTGCTGGGATCCCTGGCTGGCAACCCAAGGGTGGTGCAGTGTGCAGAGGCTGTCCCTGTCTTACTGGAGCTCTTTTTCAGGGTGGTGGCAGAGGTATGTCCTTTTGGGGGAGGTTGGCTCCCACTTGTGCCACAGGGGTCTCTTGTTGTGTGAAGAGCAGCCGTAGAGGTAAAATTGTTAAGACACTGCAGCTTCAAGAGAGGGGTGCACTGGGGGAGAGTGGGTTTAATACTGCCATGAACCAGCACTGAGCTGACCACTTCATGCAGAGAAGCAGAAAAGCTCCATGATGCAGTGTCAGATTCACTCTGTGCTCTCAGCCAGCTGTAAAGGAGAGGGGTGAGAGCAGAGTGCCTGATAGCTGCTGTGTGCACTGCTCCCCCCCTGCTAGATCAGGCAGTTTCTCTACCAGCTGTCTGACAGGGCTGGTTAGTTTGGGGTTTGGCTGCTGAAAGTCACTTGTTTCAGCCCTTGCTGAAACAAGGGCTGGTTTTCAGTCTGCAGATGGGTCTCTGATAAACCAGCTGGTGGTGCTGCTGCTGCAGAGGAGCGACCAGCTCTACGAGATCCCAGCGTTCAAAGATGACGTGTACAGGTGAGAGGGGACAGGAGGCCCAGCCAAGCTCCCAGCCCTTCCACTGGCTGCAGCCTGGCATCCCAGGGCAGCCCAGGAGCCTTTTCAGTTGTGGCCCAGTCCCTGCTGTGACACACCTTTGGCGGGTGAAAAATAGGAACACCCTGAGGGTACAGCACTGTGCCAGTGGTTGGGTGCTGCCAGCCCCTCCTCGGATGGGTGATGACCACCTTGCCCGTGGTCTGAGCTCTGCCCTTCTCTCTGCTCCAGGGTGCTGAGCTCACAGCTGCCCATGCTCTGCAAGCTGCACCCTGCGCTCGTCGTGGAACTGTCCACAGAGATTCTGGAGTTCTCAGGAGCAGTCAGCAACATCCAGAGCAAGGAGCCCATCTTCACCCACATGGTGAGCGGGGCCTGTTTGCGTCTGCCACAGGCTGCTCCAACTGTGGTGCAATCTGGCAGTCACCTTCCCTTTCCTCTCCTAGAGCATTAGCTAACCTGATTTTTTATTCCCTAAAAATTACTTGATTCCCTCTCCTTGTGCTTGCCCTGAGCGCATCTGCCTTTGCCCCAGGTCTGGGCTGTTGGGGAGTACCTGTCAGTGTCCTACGACAAGCGCTGCACTGTGGAGCAGATCACACGGTTCTTTGAGACCCTGGAGGCCGTGCTGTTTGAGATCACCCAGCTCCGGCCACTGGCCAGCACCCCCAGCTGTGCCCCCCGTGCCATCAGTGTCCTCATGGCCACCTTGACCAAGCTGGCAGCCCGCAGCCAGGACTTGATCCCCAGGTGAGGACGGATGGTGGGGACGGGCAAAGGGTTGAAACGTGCAGATCTCATGAGTCCAAACATGGTTTTGCTAGTGATAAATGACTGAATTTGTCGACTGATGGAACTTGAAACTGAAACAGGACAGAGGAGATAAGCTGTGGAGGGGCACAGTCTGGGGAAGTGGGATTCATCTGCTGACTAATGCTCTGTCACCTGATGTTCAATTGCACTAGTCTGTGGGTGTTCACAGGCTTAAGTAGTGACCTGGCTGGGTGTAAAGGTCCTGCCAGCTGATGTCTGCATCCTCCTCTCCTGCAGAGTGTCCATGTTCCTGTCTAAGATGAGAACATTTGTGCAGAGCCCTGCTGTCACCTCTGTTTACTGCGAGGAGGACCTTGAGGAGATCCTTATTCGGGCAACTGAGCTCATGAACCTGCTGAAGATGCCCAGCGTGGCTCAGTTTGTGTTCAACCCCCCCATGGATGTGGCCAGCACACGGCTTCAGAGAGAGGTGAATGACTCCCTCCCTTTGGCCCTGAGGATGGTCACCCATCTCCTGGAGCCAGCTCCTGGCTGCACGCCAGTGTGAGGGCAGGAGGTTTGTGGAGTAACTCACTGGACACTGCTGACACTCAAGGCTGATCTTAACTGGAAATGAGGAACAAATGATTGCAAATGAAACAGAAAACAGGAATAAGTAGAGCTGAGGCTGCTCTTCTGCTCTGAGGTTCTTTGTATTTCTGTGTCCCAGCGCCTGTTGCTTTTTTATCTTCTAAGCTTGTCTTATCCCTCCCTGGCCTGTATGCATTGAAAATATCAGTGTGTTTGTGTGAATGTGGCAGGAGAGTGAATGAATGCCTTAACACCCTGCCAGCACACTGTGCCCCTTTTGAGATGTACATCTTCCCTCCCTTCCTCTGCCTTGTTTCCCTCCCCTTTGCTCTCACTACACCTGGCTCTGCACTTTTATTGCCTCTTCTTGCAGCACATCAGCCGAGCCTGTGTGAGGTGGAGGAAACAGAACTGAGTGTTAATCTGCTGTGAGCCCTCACCACTCTTCTGTCTTACCATCAGAGTGAACACGCTGAGATCCAAGAGACAGCTGCCAGAGCAGAGCTTAGAGAGATTTATTGATCCAGTTTATTGTTGACACAGAGCATTTCTTAACATACACCAGCCCTGTGTCAGACAGGCGCCATGCTGTGTTCTGTATCTGCACCAGAGGTTTATACACGTTTGAGCTGTACAGTATTAACAAACAGGGAAGTAAATCCATCCCAAGGCTCCTCCCGGGAGGAGCCAGCCCTCATGCACACTAGTAAATAGCAGGGTTTATTTACAGTCTGTTTCAATACCTGACTGCACTGTGAGCAACATAACAGCTCTGGGGCTGTTTTCCAGCTCCAGGAGGGCTCAGCTGGGAGCAGAGGGTTGAGCTGGTACTGCTGGAACTTGCCAGGATGCAGCCCCAGCACTGTAGTGCAAACCAAGCCTCCCCCAAGCCCTGGCTTCCAGGCAGAGGGGAGTAAGGAGTGCATGCAGTTTTTCCAAGGGCCCTAGGCAGCCCATTTCAAGTTCTGTGGGGGATGACAGGCCAACATACCTACTTGATTCAAAGTGGAGTGAATCACCAGGAGCCCCGTGGGGCCCTGAGCCTTTGCTCGCCTGCCTGGTACGGCTGAGTCAGCGGCAGGAGGGATGCACTGCCCCCAGTCCCTGCTGGGGCAGCACCCCACCCAGGGGGTGTGAGCGTGGCCTAGCAGAGAAGCAAGGCACTAATGTCTTGGTGAAGTTGCTTGGTCCATCTTGCCTAGAAAAGAGACAGGCTAGGCTGTGTTGAAATCCAGTAGTGGAGTGTTTCCCTTGCATGGATTGTTTTGACAGCTCTCTCCTCCCGCGACGTGCGAGACTTAAGTGCAGGAACCAAAACTACAGCAGTGAGGTGTCATTAAGGCCAACCCTTTTTTAGCATCACAATCCTCAAGCAGCATTGTTGTGAGATGCCATGTTTGTATCTGATTTGCTGCCAGAGCCTAGGCCATGCAGGGTGTGATGGAGGGCTTTGCTGGAGGCTATTATTAATAGGGTTCGGCTAAACTAGGTCTCAGTATCCATCTATATGTGGAAATCAGGTCGGGTTTATCCCGTTAATGTTGCTAAAAGCAGAGGGAGGACTCGGCAGGCAGGAGGCTGGGTGTGCCAGGGCCTGGACAGCCACACGGTGGAGCTGGTTCCTCGGCTCTTCTGACACCGTGGTCAGCAGCAGGTAGCAGAGCAGTTCCTGGGACACTCGAGGCTGTCCTTCCAAAGGGAGCCTCTGCTGTTATGTCCTCACCCATCTGCATGTCAGCAGCACGCACTGGTGAGATGCTCCAAGCTGGGCAGGAAACGGGGTGGCCTTGCAATGGCCTGGCAAAGCTGGAGGGAGAGGACCAGGCACAGTGCCAAGCTGTCATTTGTCTGCCTGGGCTGGTGTCAGCCACACCTGGGGTCCGGCCCCGTGCGCTGCCAGGTTCTCTTGAGTTCCTGGTGGCACAAACCCTCTGTGAGGAGAAACTCTGCTGTGGACACCCCATGCTGCTGGATCAGTCCTGGGGGCCTTCTGCCAGGATCATGGTGCTGGAGCCGGGCAGTAAATCTGCTGCAGAGCAAGGGCAAGGGAGTCCTTTTCTTCAGGGGGCTCTCCCTGGGACTCCCAGGAACTGCTGGTGGTGTCAGCCCTTTGCTGTAGCTGCTTCCCATCCCAAAGCAGGGCTGGTAGCCCAGCAGCAGAAAGGCACCTGAATATGGCACCAGGGAACTTAACTCCTGGCAATTCATCCTGCCTGGAATCCCGCTCCTGGGTGCTTGTGCTGCCTTCACCACCCCCAGAGCTAGGCACACTTTTCCAGCCTGATGTGCCAGCACCTCAGGTGGCCACTGCCACAGTGAAGCCCAGGCCTGCCCCACACATTCATCTTCAAAATCCAAAGGTGTTTCAAGTCTTCTGCCTGCCAGCATGAAATACCACACAGGCTCCAGCCTAGAGGAACAGAGGAGCCTGCCTACAGTCCCCAGGGGGGAGCATCCTCTTCCTGCCCCCTTCCAGAGGGGACAAAGGACCAGGAAAGCTTCTGAGAAGGACAACACCAGGTATAAGGTGAGGCTGGGCAATGGATCAGGAATGATGCTCCCAGCCTGTGCAGTGGGAGAAGCGTGCACCATCCTTGCATGTATTTTCATCTGCTGCAGCGTAGGGGCAAAGTGTCCAAAAGCAAATCAAGGGCAGTTGTGGAGTCCTGGTCCTCGCTTTTGCTCTCCTTCACTCCAGGCTCCCCCAGGGTGAGCTTTAACCAGAGCTGCACCCACGGGCTGCTGCAGAAGGATCCTGATACACAAGGACTAGGAGACAGAGGAGCTGGAACTGATTTTTTTGGCTATTTCCATGTCTGACTTGGCAACCAGAAACCGCAGCTTCTTCCCTCCGGAGCGGATGAGCTCCACAGCACTGCAGAGAGCAGCAACAGGGAGAGAGGTGAATTCTGGTTCCCACAGGCTGGCAACCCCCCAGGACATTCACAGAACACCCCCCCTTTGCCAAGCACCTGCCCCCTCTGCCCTGTGCCTGCTCAGGGTTACAAGCAGTCTGTTGCTCTTCTGTCTGTAGCTTTCTGGAGGGCCTGACCTCTGTGTTAGTGCTGCCACGACAACAGCAAACAAACCCAAAGCTGCGCTGTCCCGTGACCACCTGGGCTCTGCCTCTGAGCTGCCCCATCCCACCACCTTCAAGTGGAAGCCTGGGGTGGGATGGGACTGGACCAGTTCTGCACTGCTGAGACCCACCTCTGGAGCTCTCATTTTTCTCCCAAGTATACTCCCCAGTTGTTGCCCCTCTTCCAAACCCCCCAAACAACTGCCTTCCCCCCTTCCCGGTGTCCTGCACAGGTCACTCCTCTCTCTGCAGCTTGCTTGTGCTGCAACATCCTCTGGTTTGTGGGCCAGGACCACAGCACCAGGGACTCTTTGAGCAAAATAGCTGGAAACCTGGACCTGAGCAGTGCTGATTCCCTCCCAGACCCTTTGGCAAGGTGTAACTCACCTCTGGTAGTCTGCCCCGATGAGGCTGGTGCCGTTGACAGCCAGGATGCGGTCCCCGAGGGAGAGCCGGCCATCGGCAGCCGCGGGGCTGTCCTCGATCAGGGTGCGGATGTAGATCCCCGGGGAGCACAGGGGGGTGTGCTGTTGGCAGGGAGAGGCAGTGAGCAACAAAGGGACACGAAAGGTTTGTGGTCCCAAAGGGCTGAGCTCCCCAGGCGAGGCAACTCTCCCCCAGGGCTCACAGCCAAGTGGGCGCCTGATGCCAGGTGGGACCCTGGAAACTCTGGGAATGGTGCTAACAGGAAGGAAATACGATCCTTCACTTTTATATCAATTTATACACAGAAAGGAGAGGTGGGTGCAATCTGTTCTTGTTCAGTTTAATTAAGAGTAAAGCATCGTTAACCTGTGGCCATGTTGGGATGGGAGCCCGGTGCTCAGAGCTGTCCCAGGGCTCAGTGATGCTCTGTTTCCTATTGACTAACAGCACTGCCCTGAAAGGCCATTTAGAAAGATGACCCACCCCACTAAGGCAGATTCCAACGCTACCTTATGCAACGGCAGAGCTGTTCTGGCACCTCATGAGCCTCCCTGCTCCCCTCCACTTCCCTTGCCACCGCTGAAGGGTGGAGGAAAGACCTCAGCTGAGTCATTTTCCTTCCACAAAAGAGCTGAGCCTGTTTGCTCTCCAGCTGCAGGACAGCTGCTATGGACTTTGCACGCACAGCTCAGAGACGCAGGAGTAGACAGATCCTCTGAGAGATCCCTCAGTGCTTCGTTTTCCCCAGGAGAAGCAGCCTAACCCCCGTGGGAAGCCATTAGCTTCTTTGCTGGCTTTTCTGGGAGTCAAAACCACATCCCACGTGTCCCACTCCAGCTGTGTGAGGGGCATCAGCCCTGTCCCGCAGTTGCTAAGGACTCACCACGCCGTCGATCAGCCCCATGCCCAGCCCGCTGGGTCCCCTCTCCAGCTCCACCACGAAGACGTAGCAGAAGTCGTCGGTGGCAGAGCTGCGGCTGGAAGACTCCGGCGTGGGGTAGTCGTAGGGGGTCGGCGAACATCCTGGCAGCGGAGAGATCGGCTTACGGCTCTGGCACCGCCCACACCCATCCTCACCACCCCCGGGCAGCGCCAGCGTTCGGTACCTTCGGGGGTGCTGCCCTTGGTGCCGGTCATCCCGTTCCTCCGGGGGTCCTGCAGCCCCTTGCCCGTGCCCTGTGGGGACTCCGGGCTCCCGGAGTCGAAGTTCAGGGGGGTGGTGGGCGGTGTCAGCAGGCAGGAGGAGTCCGTGGGTGCCGTGCCAGCCTTGGGGGCCGGACCCCTGCCCAGCTGCAGCTGCTTCAGCTTCTCCTGGATCTGTGGCTCGCCGGAGTCCTCACAGGGGACGCCGTTGGTGGCCAGGCAGGGCCGGGGGTTCCCCTCCGGCTCCGGCTCAGCGCAGCACCCCGGGGAGCAATAGTCCTCCTGGGCAGTGGTGCTCCCCAGGGCAGCAGCCGGGCTCTCGCTCACCTCCAGGACCTCTGGCGTCGTGCATGCCTCTTTCTTAAGGAGGAAAATGCTCTGTGGGACCCCCTGAATGTGCTTTTCACTCCCTGCCTGCACCCCACCACCCCGTTGCTTCCCAGGCAGGACGGCTGCCAGCTCCAGCCAAAGCCTTGGCAATTTGGACACCACCAGAGCTCGTCCTGGCTTGCCAGCAGAGCTCCCACTCCCCAGTTCTGTGGCCAGGGCCGTGCTGGGGATGTTCACAGGCAGCCAGGAAGGGACTCCTGGTCATGTCCCTGCTGGGGAATCCCACTGGAGGGGGACACCGGTGGGAGCACAGATCCTCCTGTGGCCCAAGGGCTCCAGGATAAGGAGAGGAGGTAGTGGTGCCTGTGGTGGTGCAGTGGATGGCGACAGGATGGGAGAGGAAAAGGGGACCTGCTGGAGGGACATCCTCCCCATGGATCTGGACACAAATGGCAGTTAAGTTTAGCACCCACAGCACGTATGACCCTCCCTGTGCTTTACAGGCATTAGCTAATTAGTGCTTTTATGCAAGCCTGGCTGCTGGGGACGGGCAGGGTGCAGCACAGAGAGGACAGGGAATGCACAGGGAGAAGGGGAGCACCGCCTGCAGACACCTCCCTTTCCTCCCTCCCCTCCCCTAATGGGATTGCTGGGAAGAGCCTGTTCTTCCACCTCACCTTCCCGCGCCCCCCAGGCTGCGGGATTAGCAGCACTAATCCTTCCAGCAGCTCTCCAGGAGGGCACTGCCACAGCTCTAGGCTGCAAGCGAGGGCAGCAAACCCTTGGCACTGGGCTTGGAGGGGTCTCCAGAGGGATCCAAGACCCTCCTGCCCACCCAGGAGAGGAACAGTCCCTCTGTGGGATACAGGCTACCTTTAGGGGTGCTGAGCCCGGCCCCTCGCTGGTGTGGGGGCTCTTGCTCTGCAGGCTCCAGAGGAAGTGGCGGATGTAAAGGAGGTGCCGGTAGATGTTGTCGTCCAACGTCTCCACCTCCAGGTCCACTTTGAAGCCCCCACTGGGCAGGATGATGGGTGGGTGGTTGTCAAAGGACTCCAGCATCTCATCTAAAAGGCAGAGGGAGGAAGGCTACCACTGGCCCAGGCTGCACTCTGCTCCTGCCTCCCAGCTCTCAGCCATGTGCAGTCTCCCAGCTGGGGTCAGGGACATGGTGAGCTGCAAGCCAGCATCATCCCTCACCTGGGACCGCAGGAAAAGCCTCATGCCCATCTAAGTGCCCTTTGCATCCTCTGCAATATCTGAATCACAGGGCTGTGGTTATTCCCAGTTGCTGCAGTTACTACAGGAGACCCAGGGAGGGGAAGGGATTTGCCTGTTTGGTTTGTACATAAAAACCTTGGAGGGAGCCTGTGGGTGACCGGAGCACGACAACCAGAGCAGCACTGAGAGCAAAGCCAGGGGCTCACCGGGCTGGAAGGTGGCTGGGCTCTCCTCCTCACTGGGCTGCCACGCTGCGATGCAGCCCATGTCCATCACCGCCTGGCACTGGCTCAGCACCCGGTGGAGCTGCGCGGGGCTCAGCGCCGGGAACTCGGCTCGCAGGGACGGCCAGGTCATCTGAGCGAGGAGAGAGAGTGTGGGAGCAATGCCAGGGGTGAGGAGCTGCTTCCTCCCAGGAGCAGGGACTCATGAGGGGCACCAGAGGGAAAGGTCAGGGAATATGCAATGAGTCTGAGCATCCCCTCCATGCCCACCCACAGACCCACCACCCTAGGAAAGGGCAGCTGGAGGCAGGTTGCAAAAGGGACACATCAGTGTAGGGACGCCCCCAAATGCCGAGCGGGGTCTCTCCTGCCCGTGCCTATCCCAGTGCCAGGAGCCATGGGCTGGGCATCCCTCACCTGCACCAGCTGGGAGCCAGGCATGGCCAGCAGGTTGGCCACACTGGCGAGTTTGGCGAAGAACTGCTGGGCGAGCTGCTCGAAGCCGGCGCCGCGCAGCCAGTCCAGGAGCAGCCGCACGCTCGCCCGCAGCTTCACCCCCTGAGACCAGTGGAAGCAGCCGAGAGAGGAGCCTGGGGAGGCAAAGCATCCATCAGCACACATCAGAGAACAGCCCCTCAGTCCCCCCAGCCCCTGCCCCAGGTCAGTGTACCCAGCATCCCATAGTTATGATTCCTGGTGGTGGCTGGACCTCACCTGGCACTAACAGTGGGGCAGCTGTGTTAATGAGGGCTAATTAGCACCTCAAGCTGCAGTAGTTTATTCATGAACTGCCCCTCCAAAGTGCCCTCAGCCTCCTCTGCTCAGGCTGAAAAGGGCAGGGCTCTGGCAGGGGCTGAGGATGGGGTTCAGCCTCTGCTGGGAATGGGGACCCTGGAGCCAGCAGACCCTGGGTCTGTGCTTGGCCTCCCCAAAACTGCTGAGACGTGCCCATTTCCAGCCCCTTCCTTCCCGTACCCCCCGAGGTGGCACTGGGATGCGCTGGAGGGAGTCCCACAAGGCCAGTCTCCTATGTGTTTCCCAGTTCAAGGAGGACTGACCCTTATCCAGGAGCTGGTTGAAGAGCAGGGTGTTGGAGAAGAAGAAGAGGTAGGCAAACATCTGGGAGGTGATCTCTGGGTGCACTTCATACTGGTGGAGCAGGTCCAGCACCGCCTGGTAGATGAGCACGACCCTGCGGAGCTCCTCGGGCAGCGGCGGGGCCGCCCTCCAGCTCTCCCGGCACTCACTCTGGAAGGGGTTGCACTCCAGCAGGGCAGGGAGCGACACATACAGACACTGCAGGGAGAGCAGCAAGTTCACAGCAGACTCATTTTGCTTGGTTTTTCTGTTTTTGCATGAGACAAACATTTCTGACCCCCTCATCTCTGCCAGCCAAGCAAACCCTGCCGGTGCTGCCCCAATAAGGGGCTGCTCCTGCTCACCCCCTGCCCCCATGTGCTCCTGTGTTGTGCAGAAGTTTAAAACTTATAAAAATTAACATTATAAAAATTAACTTGTTGGTTGCTTTTAGCAGTTGGAGGTGGTGGCACGAGACAGCTCAGCTAAAAGGATCTGAAATCCGATGTGAACCAGGGCAGTGGCCGATCAGTCGGGCATGAGGGTGACAGGAAAACCAGGATCAATGGGGATGATCTTCCCCTATTGCTTAAATGGGAGAGCAGTGCCTAGCACCCGTCTCTGCCGGGGCTAAGGGAAGAGGAGGGTGCAGGAGAGGAAGGTGCCGCTCTGGAATGCTGCAGAAGTCCCTGCATCCCCTCACGCTGACGCCAGAGGACAGGCAGCCGTCCCGCACAGGGCAGCCTTTCTGCTGCCTCACACTGCCCGCTCTGTTCCCTGCTCCCGATGCCGCCCGGCTCTCGCGGTCCAGCGGCGACGGTCCAGGGGCCCCTTTCCATCACGCCCTGAATCACACCATTATGCCGCGCTGGCCGGAGCCAAGCAGCTCTCCCCAAACAACTCCCCCGAGCCGCTGCACTGCAGGCAAGGAAACACGCCGCAGTAATTCAATACTTTTCCTGGGCTGCGACCAAAAATCGGGGCACTTCAGCCCGAAGGAAAACACCTCAGCGTGATGCAACTGCCAAGGAGTAAAAGCTTGAAAAAAACCAAAACTCCTGTGCAGCCCGAGAGCTGCTGGGGATGCTCATGCTGGCCCCGTGTGACACTGCTGCCTGTCCGTGGGAGCATGTAGTACCTTGGAGATGTAGTAGACACACTGCTGGAAGGTGTACATGATCACCTCCTCCAGCACTGTCATCGCCTCCTCGCTGGCTGTGATGGTCGAGGAGAACAGAGACTCCTTGGAGCCTGTGGGGCAGAGAGGAGGATGGGGGAGCAAACCTGCAGCAGCAAGGTGCCCAAATTCCCAGGGTGGGGATTATTAGCGTTTCCAGGCTTGCACCACCACCACGGCATCACCTGACAGGGGCAAAGAGGCTCCTCTGGCCCCAGAGAGCACCCACCTGCCATCCCCTGGGGCTCCCATCACTGCTGCAGCTCGGGGCTGCGCTGTCTCTCCAGCACCTGCCCGGCCTACGAACACCTTAATTTGCTGCATCAACCCAAAGGGCTCTGAGGCTGATTTAATACCTTTTTCTTTGTTTTCCTTTATCTTTTTTCTTTTGCTTGAATTAACACAGGCTCACCAGTGAGCAATTCTGCAGGGGCTGCCTGCAAATCCAGGTGCCCCCCACGGCAGCGGGAGCAGGGAGGAAGAAAGCCCCACCAAGGCACTAACCACAGGCTGCTGAGGTGGAAAGGGGCTGCTCGGCTGTGGACACAACACAACCTGGAGCCGGGCAGCACCGCGGCACCACACAGGCTCCTCCCACAGATTTCCCCAGCCCACACCGCGGAGATGTCCCTGCTGATGAGGATTACGGGGGTTAACGGAGCATCTCCGGGGCACTGACCGCCGCCTGTGACTGGGGATTAGCAGGACAGAGCCTCTCCAGCCAGAAAAACAGGCAGGGTGTTGCATCCAGCCTCACCTCTGATGTCCAGCTCCTCCTCCATGCTCTGGATGTACGTGGGTGATTTCTGCTGGACAAAGTAGAGGATCTCGATGGCGTTGGCCATCCAGAAGATGATGTGCTGCAGGTCTGGGAGAAGGTCCGTGATGGTGAAGCGGGACAGGGAGGCAGGGTCCTGGCTGGGGAGACACAGAAGGTGTTACAGCTGCTGCTCCTCAGCTTCCTCACTCAGGCTTTTGGGAAGAAAACAGCCAGCTTGGGGCAACGTCAGAGAACCTGGCATCCCCTCACCCCCAAGTCCAGTACTCCCCTTAGGAAGACCCCTCACAAGCAAAAATCTGGTGGTTCCTGCTCTGTGGAATGGCAAAGAGGACCCTGAAGGGACTGGGCTGGCCAAGGCCACCTTGCCTTTGTGGGGTGCTACTTTTGGGGGAGACTCCCCATGATACAACTGAACTGCAGTAAATACTCGAGGCTGAAGAGCAGCTCTCCCCAGAGGTTTGTGCTGCCCCTGCCAGCTCTGGACGGTTAAACCCAGCTCACCCGCCCTGGGCTGTTCAAAAATAAAACAAAATAAATAAAAAGCATCTGGGAAGTTTCCCAACTGCTGAACTGCTTTTTCCTGCTATAGGAAAGGCCTGAGAAGCATCCTTGGAGTTTGTCCTAAAGAAGAGCTCAGAGCAAGCCCCAACACTTTCTCCAGATGCTGGTTTAGAGCCAGGATTTTGGAAGTGGCTGGGAAGCCAGCTCACTGCACCACTGTGATTGCCCCAGAGTGGGGTTCTCCCAGCACTGGGACACCTTGTGCCACCATCCCAGGATGCACAAACGCAATGCCAGACACCAAGGGGTCTTCAGCATGAAGGGGGTGAGGCCCCCCCATCGGGGTCATCCCTACTACATCCCTCAGGGATGCTGAAGCCACAAGTGCAAAGCGTTGGCCAGGTCTTGCATCAGAGAAAACCCCAGAGCTGCTGCAGGCCCTATTCCCTCCGGAGCTCGCCTGCTTTTCCAGACCCACACAATCCTTGCAGGCATCATGGTGAAAGGGCCAGAGAGCAGAATGCATCGGGTTTAGAAGGAAAATTCATCATGCATCACTGCCACCAGGCTGGGAGGGTGGTTTTCCAGCCATGGATTCCCCTCACTCATGAAGGTAGAACTGGATTGAATTCTTCCCGGTTTGTGTCAAAACAAGGAAGGTCACACTTACTGCTGGGACTGCTTTTCAGCCAGCTCCCGTGTCCGCTCCTGGGCAGGAAGAGAAGGGGAAAGCACAATGAGAACCAGTAGGATGGGATGGCACCAGCATCACCCCCACCAGCACTCGCTGCCAGGCTGGGAAGCCCCCAGGGAGGGGGTCCAGCAACACCCTCTCCCCACCAACACCCCGTCCCACTGCTGACTGACCCACACCGTCCTCTGGATCATTTTGGCCGCTTTGAGCAGCAGCTGCCCGAAGTCTCCTGGCTCAAAGTTGGTGGCCGAGTGCTGGATGCAGAGGCAGAGCAGGAAGGCGGGTGTCAGCTTGTGGTCGTCCCCGCCGGGCTCGATCAGGGTCATGATGCGCCGCAGGAGCACGTCCTCGGCCGCCGGCTCGAACTCCAGCTGCATCTTCCTGCGGGGCGTCCTGGGGCCGCCGGCGGGCGAGGGGGCCCGCTTTTTGGCAGCAGGGTCCTTCTCTTTCAGCAGGCTGCCACACGCCCCGCAGACAGGGCGGCCCTCGGGGGCGGCGGGGTGCAGGGCTCGCAGCCTCAGCAGGGTCTGCGCCGGCAGCGGCTGCGCCTTCATGGGGTCCTTGTAGAGGAGCAGGTAGTAGAGGCCGAGGGACAGGAGGTCCCCGTGCCGCAGCACCACCGTCCGGGCCACCTCGGCGAAGTTGACGGAGATGCCGGCGCCGGCGATGGGCTCCAGCACCAGCTTCTCCTCCGAGCGGTGCCGGGAAGGTCGGAGCTTCCTGATGGTGCAGTGCAGGGGCAGGATGTCGGGGGCTGACAGGCTGATGCTGGGCTTGCTCGCCTGCGTCCTCTGGCCCACCGTGTGCTGCTCGCGGTTCAGCAGGTAAACCAGGCTGTCCTGCCAAGCAGGGAGACGCGGCATGAACGGGGAGAGGGGAGAAAGGACCCTCCTCCCTGCCATGCAGTGGGTGCTGCAGCCTCCTGCTGTCCCCAGCTGCCCCACCACTGTCCCCAGCCGTCCCTGCATGCTGCACCTTTGCATGGCAGAAAGACCTTTATTCTTCTCACTGCCAAGCAGGACAGCAGCAGCCCCTGCTTTGGGCACACTAACAAATGGGCACAATGACATTGGCCATGCAGTAAATGGGGCTGCTTTGGGCAGAAGAAGCCCTCCCCCCGCCTCTCTCCCCCACACACCCCTTCCTGCAGCTGCTTTTCCTTCCCACCTTCTCCCTCCAGGACTGCAGCAATGTCTGCATCCCCCTGCCCGGGGGGACACGGTGGGACCTCAGTCACAGCAGCCACTCCCAGCCCTGCCTTCCCCCCCTCCAGCCTGCATGCACACCCCGAGGCAGCTCGGTAACCACCTCGTGCCTCAGTTTCCCCAGCTGCACTAACGGGATGGCTGCAGCGCCGCTGTCACCCCGATGGAAAGCTTGGAACACAGGGATACTCAACGGCACAAAGTAGCCATTAGCTACAGAGCAGTCCCAGTCCTTTCCAGTTCTCCAAGTGCCTCCAGCACTGGGGAGCAGGGGCTCCCAGACGCACCGTCTCCTTGCTGCCTCTGATTCCATTTGCCACCAATAAAGGAGCCGGACAGGGGACGGGGCAGCTCAGCCATCCCCCGCAGAACCGGCGCTCCCTTGTGCCGGGGCAGGGATGCTGCTCTGGGGGTTGCCCTGCATCCCGCTGGGTCACTGCTGGGGGGGTCATAGGTCCCGGCTCTGTGTCCTCCGTGCTTGAGGATAGGTTGGGGACAGACTTGGGGGACAAGGCTGCAAGTCCCAAGCCCGTTTTCTAAAGGATGCTCACCCGCGCCACCACCACCCCCCGCCCCTCGACCCCAGCAGCTCCGGCCATGCAAGCAGCCCCGCTCCCGGGGGGCTTTGGGGGTAGGAGAAAAGCGGGGGCGGGGGTGGGGTGCCGGGGGGTTGCGCAGGAGGCGGCGCGGTGCTTACATGCTGCTGGCTGTAGCCCTGCAGGAGCAGGAGGTGCGGGGACTGGTAGAGGGAGTACCGCATGCTGCCGCCGCTCCGCGCCGCCGCCGGGCTGCCGGGCAGGGTGGAGCAGTGCCGCTGGAGCCGGGCCCCGGCCCCGGCCCCGACCCCGGCCCCGGCCCGCCTCACCGGGGTCCCCAGGCTGGTCTCGCTGAGGCTGCGCCGCAGGGCCGGGGGCGGCCCGCGCCGCTCAGCCCCCGCCGCCGCCCGCCGGGCCCCCCGCGCCCGGTGCCGCTGCAGCTTCCGCGCTTGGGCGTTGATGCCTGCGGGGATGGGGGGGAGACAGAGCGGCGTTCAGCCCCCGCAGCCTCCCCAGAACCCCCCACACACACGCACACTGCCGCAACATCCCATGGCTGGAGGGATGCTGCACCTCCGAGAGGGGACGGAGCAGATGAAACCCACCCCTCCCGGCACCGCGCAACCACCCTGGGCTGGTGTCCCCTGGTCCCTTGCCCTCCCCGAAAGGTGACACCAGGACACCAGCGCGGAGAGTTTTGTTGCCCAAATGCCACCGCCAAAAAGGGGGTGTCCTAGCCCTCCCCGGCCCCAAAACCCACTGATGGAGAAGGGGAGCCAGTCCATAGCATCCCCCACCTGCTCTGGCCACCCTGCTGGGCTAAGGGGAGAGGAAATCTCTGCTAAAAAGACATTTCAGTCTATCTTTGCTACAAAGAAAAAAAGGGCCTGGATGCTGCTTTCGGGCCATCAGTACTTGGTGGCTAGCAGCAAGCAGGAGCAGCAGAGACCCCCCCAATCCCTCTGAGCATCAGTCAGGCATGGGAGCTGCAGTGGAGCCCGGCTGCAGCAGGAGCAAGCTGTAATTAACTTCTCTGAAGCATCAATTTGAGCAGAGCTGTCCGCGAGACAAACAGGAGCCGGAGTGAATGAATAGGCCTGGCCCAGCTGCCAAAGCAGCCCCTCACATGGCATCCCCAGCCCCAAGGGGAGGTACCCGTGGGACCCCCTGTGCTGCAAGCATGGCTTGAGCTCTGCAGGAGAAAAAAGAAGTTGTTGTATCCGAAGGGTGATGCTCATACCTCAGATGGGCAGTCTCCTGGGAGCAGGTCACTGGCATTCGGGGAGGACGAAGAGAGGCAAAAAAAACCTAAAGGATTTGCTTGCAGGAGCAGCAGTGCAGTGGTGTCAGTGCAGCACAGAGCCAGAGCCACTCAGGGCTCGGCTGACCAGGGAGCAGGCTTGGGCCAGCAAGATTTGGGGACAGCCGCCGGGATTTGGGGACGGCAGAGCAGAGAGCCTGGTGCCCAGGGCTGCTTAAAGGGACACTCACAAGCTCAGACCCAAAAAAAAATACAATCTGCCTTATTTGGTGAGGAATGGGCTGCCAGTTCTGAAATACATTTTTTTGTTTGTTTGTTTTAAATAGAGCGCTCCTTTGCTGGGAAAATCAAAGAGTTGGGGATGGGGAGGGAGGGTGGGAGAGGGAGAAAATAGCCCCTGCTGTTTACATGCCTTGGGATTAGGGCAAGGCACAGTCAAGCCACCCCAAGCAGTCTCGTGCCTGTGTCCTTCTTAAAAAGGCAATCAGCCTTGCTCCCATTCCCATCATGGCCAGCGACACGGCACGGGACGCCTGCATCCCATGGATGAGAAATCCAGGGAGTACAACAAGTCTGCCCAAGCCATACCACTGGGGATGCCAAAGGCCACCCCAAACGTGTCTGCAGGACACCTTGGCTCCACCATGGAGCACCACTCCCAACCCACAGGATGGAAATGGGCCAAAGGGATGAAGGATGGCTGAGGCTATGCAGATCCCACACCCATGGGAGTGGTGAGGAGTGGGGCCAGATCCTGGGGAGCAGCTATTGCTGGAGCTCATTGGGATGCAGCAGGGGTTGCCAGGACTGGGATCCCACTGCCTGCAGAGACATGCCATCACCAGTCCCTTATCAAGGGGAAAGGAAGCTTCTGTATTTGTGTAGGAAAAAGCTGTTTTTTCACTGCCAACAGAGCCCCCGTCACAGGCTCCCGCTAACCCCGGAGCTGTGCTGGAAAGATAAACACAGCTCTTTTCCTGAGCATAACAAAGTCCCTCCATAAACTGGGTTAGGTTTTTTTAATCCTTTGGTACTGTTTTGTCCTCCCAGGCATGTGCAGGTTGTCCCGCCCAGAACTCTGCCTGAGCATCCCCAACACAGTGCAGCCAGGGCAGAGCCAGCAGCTGCTGAATCCACATAGAGATTTGGATGGGAACAGGGTGCGAGGAGTTAAAGAGCACAGTTGCCTGTCTCAAACACTGTTAAGGCCACAGAAGGAACTTGCCATAAGTAATGCACCTGGACAAAAATGCTCACTGTGGCAAGCTGTGTGAAAAGAAGCAAGTGCTCATACGCTCATCAAGGGTCAAAGAAAGATCACCTCAAGTCATGGGGCATCTACAACCACCAATGACCACCCAAGCTCCCCAAATATACCTCCCTGGATACCCAGAACTTGGATTGTATAAAGGTGGTACTGTTGTCCGGGTGTCAGGCCTTCCTAAAGTTTAGGGCTTGGCATGCTTCAATGATCTCAGACCTAGGGGGAGGTTAACAAAGCCTGGGAAAAAGGATGTACCACTGATAGTGGGCACAAAGAATGCAGAATTCACAGGCCATAAGGACATTTGGCAGAACTCCCAAGATAAAGAAGAAACTAATAGAACCAACTCAGCAACTGTGCTGAATCAGCTCCGAGTGGGTAAAAGGTAATTCCGGCAGAGGGAGATCGTGACCATCAACTCACAGCCACCAACCCAAGAAACCCACCAACTCAGAACAAGAGAAAGCTTTCCCCTCTTTTCTATTTCTTTCTATCTCTCTACCTCATATTCAGTGCTATGAGGGACTTTGGCAGAGGCATCTCTCACTAATCAGATCATATAACACAGGGCTGGATCACACCCTTAGGGAGAGCTGGGCACCCCAGGTAGGGGCACCGTGCACCCCTTGGGCAGCACCCACCAGGCCACACCAAGCTGCTCCCTCTAAGCCCGTCCTGCATCCCAGGGGAAAAACTGCCGGTTGTGGTGCCTGGGATCTTGGCTGGGATCTGCCTCTTTTTCAGCCTAGGGAAGAGGTTCACTTTTCCTAGCTGAGAAATAAATCAACAAATAACTCCGTGGGCCCCAGGAAAGAAGAAAACGCTTTGAATTTACCCAGGAGGGGCTAAGACCAGGCTAGTCCTTCCTAATGTAATTGCTCTGCAGACTCTGCAGGGATTCCTCCCTGGATGCAGTCTTGCTAAGGTATATCAAAGTCAGATCCTCAAAGGCACTTGCCAGAGCATCTTTTAGTATAATAGGCTTAACTCCCAAGTTTCTGGAGGTGTGTGTGCAGTTCAGCCTCCAGCCTCTCAGGGAAGCCTCAGCCACCAGGACATGGTGCAAAATGGGGCTGTTTTGGAAGACAAATGCCACCAAGATGCCAATTGCTGCACCTCCCTTCCAGCAGCCCCAGTTTGTGGGTGTCTTCCCCACATTCTCCATTAATGCTGCCTCATCACTCCCAAAAGAAGCAGGACCAGGGGCAGCAGTGAGAAAGGGGTCTGCCTCGTTTGCTGCAGAGATGCTCTACCTGCTGCTAATTAGGGGCATGAGGAGCCAGCACCATCCTCCCCAGTGGGAAGCAGCTAATAAACTAATTAGGATAATGGGTAACTGAGCAGATAAAACTCTTAAGCTATTTGCTAACAGGTCACGGATGGATGTGGAGCCTTTCCCCCAGCCAGCAGCTCAGCAAGCAGCAATGCACCTGTGTGACCCCAGTGTTCCCAGCCACCCCAGTGTCCTGCTGCTCCAGTGATGCCCTGTGTAGGGAAGGGCCTGCAGGTATTGCCCTGGGGATCCCACTTTGAGCTTTTCTCCCAGGGAGCTGCAAGCTTGAAGTCCCTTTGTTTTTGCACAGATGTTGTGTTTTCCGCACCAGTGCCTCACCACCCCGGGTGGGCAGCTGCTGCTTGGCAAGGGTACCTCTGCCAGCTTGAGGCTGGTGGGAAGGGTGACCCTGGTGGAGGGCACTCCTGGTCAGCCCCCATTACACCAGAAGTTTTGAGGCTTTTTTGGGGTGCTGGATCACATGCTGCATCACACCCTCTAATCCCTGGCAGCTTGTGGGTGGGTGGGAAAGTGTGGCCCCAGCCCCACAGTATTCCTTTGGGCTGTGCCACCAGAACAGGGTGAGACTGGTGACAGAGCCCCTGTTGCACCCAGAAGGAAGGGCTGCAGGAGTGAGATTTTAACAGGTAAGACAAATGCAGGCTGTGTAGTCTGCAGGGCAGACAGTCTGCACGACCGTGGGTGTAGGTTTTCTGCCTTGGAAGAGCTTGGTCAGCTATGGAAAATGCCCAAAGGTTAAAAAACTGAGAGTTTCCACCGCCCCACCCAGGAGTGCTGAAACAAATGAAGTGATAACGAAAGCATAACGGGCTCATTTCCAGATCCAGAGCACGCAATGCCATCAGGAACTGCTCCTCCATCAGAAATCACTGAAGGGTGCCAATCCCAGGCCAGCTCAAGCTGCCTGTGCTGGGCAGCCCAGAGCCTGCTGCTTCCCCCGCCTGTGTGGGAGCCTTACCCTCCCCAGGGCTGCCAGCCCACCCAGATCCAGGTCACTGAGAACGTTGCTTTCTGCATCCGAGGGGGAGTATTTGAGGTCGAGTTGATGTGACCTTGGGCTCAGGCAGGGAGCTGCCACGTGGCCCTCCCAACTGTGTGCTATAACCATGGTGCTTGGCTCTTGCCCTTTCCTCTGTTCAACAGAAGCTGTTTTTAGAGTCGCTGCTCTCCAAAAGTGCTTTACTTCTCTCTGATCCTGCCTGGAGAAAAAGCTGAAGAGCAGAGCAAAGCATCCAGCTCCCTGGCCCAGGTGCCAGCAGCAGCTGCCTCTTTCTCTCTGTGTCCCACACGCAATGAGCTGGGACCACTCCTGTGCATCCCCTCCCTGAGCAGACCCAGAAACTGGACACGTGAGGCTGGAGGGAGCCCCATCTCCCCATCAGGTGCCAGGTGAAATCAGAATTGAAAATTGCAGCTAGGGAGGCTCCAGCTGCCTCTGCTCTCCCCTGGAATGCCCATGGCTGGATTCCTTCACCTGTGTGCCTGGGCTCCTTCCAGCCTTTGTTAGAATGGGTGGGAGAGGAGCCGTGTCCCTGCTGGTGTGAGACAGGTCAGGCCATTTGTTCTGCTGCTTTGGGAGGAGAACCTTGGCTGTCATTTGCCAAGTGCCCAGGGGAATCCTGCACCATCCTCAGTTTATTTCTGACAGTAACAACCCTTTCCTACAGTCGTGAGGAACCACTCAGAGCCCATCCCAGCAAAACCCCCTGGCTAACACCTCCAGAACCTGGTCCAGACACCTCTGTCAGCAGGTCCAGCACAGCAAGGGCATCATGCAAGTAAAAATCTGATTTTAAACCTTTCTACCCTCCTCCTCCCGGGGCTTTTATCTTAGGGTGGGAGGAGGAAAACTTCATTACTCGGTGCTGGGGTCACTTATTAACCTGCTGGTTCCTAATGATGCACTTAACTGCTCCTGCCAGCCCTGGGCTCCATCAGGCACTGCCACGGGGACTCTCCTGCCCTACATTGCTCTCTCTTCATTAGCTTTTCATTTTCCTTAATTGCTCCTGCAGATTTGCCTGGGGTGTCTGGCCTGGGGGATGCCCACGGGGAGATGGGGGTGCAGGGGAGCAGGGCAGTGCTCTGCCAGGCACGAAGCTGGGGATGCCATGGTCCTGGTTCAGTGATGGGAAGAGCAGGAAGCACTGATGGTCTTGCCTGCTGCTCCCCAGCCATGAGCAGGAGTTTGGTATTAACCCCTAGACTGGCTGGGGTAAATATTTGAGGTAAATCAATTTGATACCAAATTTATGCAGGAGTACTGAGTACTGACTATGGATCAACTCAGGAGCCTTGCAGAGGTAAAATGTGGCCACTCTCCCACTTGCACAACCCCCTGTAACCAAACCACGTGTGAAAGCTGCTGATGTGGGGGGTGCATCTCCCACAGGCAGCTCGGGGGGGTCACAGCTCCCTCCCCCTGCCCCACACCCAGCTCTGACCTGCAGTGGTGGTGTCCACGTCCTTGGCCGCCAGCTCCTCCACCTCCGCCCTCCTGCGCAGCTCCAGCCGCCGCGAGAAGCCCTCCCGGGGCTTCCAGAGGTCCTGGATGAGCAGCGGCTTCTCGTGGTCCCCCAGGACCCTCAGCCCCTCCGTCTGCCACTGCTTCTCGGGGCCCTCGAACCTGCCGATGACGTCGCACAGGGCGTACTGCGCGGCGCTGAGCTGGCTCAGCCCGTAGCGCTCCAGGGCCTCCTTCACCAGCTCCCGCGCGCCCGAGCTGCCCGTCACCAGCACACTCTTGTAGTTGGTGCCCGCACAGATGTTGCCCCCGAAGATTTTCAGGATGCCAGGGGCCGAGAGCTGGGTGGAGAGCTCGGCCGGGTCATCCTCGCCGACGGCCGGGGAGGCGGAGGCCGAGCTCCGGTCCTTGTAGCTCAGAGTCCGGTACAGGACTTGGGAGAAGAGCCGGCCCTGGCGCTTCAGCCGGTTCTTGGACGGTGGAGCCATGGTGGAGGAGGGCCCATAGAACATCGTGCGTGAGGTCGTCATGAAGCACAGCTGGGCAGGGAAGAGCAGAAAGCGGAAGGTCAGTGGTTTGGAGGCCAGATGTGCAGCAGGGAGGAGCGAGCAGGAACCAGCTGGCGGCCACAGAGGAGCCGCTGTCACCTCCAAGGTGGAAAGAGACTAATCAAGGGAGGGCCATTTCCCTTGTGTAACCCAAAACACCAGTGGAAAAGCTCAGCCAGGCTCCTTGGCACCAGCACAGTTGCCCCTGGATGGATTTGTCCCTGAAAACATAGCCTGGAGTGGCCCCATATTTCTCCACTGTGTGTATTAAGAGGGCCCTGTTACCCAGGCGAAATGCAGTGGGAGGAGAGCAGAGCCCAGCAGGACTTGGCGGAGCCCATCCTGGTCAAGATCCAATGCATCAGGAGTTACTTTCACTAACGAGTTTATGGAGCAATCCCATTTTTTTAGAGGTGAAACGGAAAGCTCAAGTGCAAATTCACTCACTCTGAGGTCACCGCTAAATGCTTTTGCTCAGTGAGAGGCGCAGGGTGAAAATGGGCTTTAATTAGCCTTTCTAAAAATGTCCTGACTCCGGCAAATCTCTTGGCTGTTGCTGGTTTGTGGAGGACATTCAAGCACGGGGTGCATTGCTGACAAGGCTGCCCTTGGCACAGTAGCAGGGGTAGGGCTGCTCAGGGCAGCCCCGGGCACGCAGTGACCAGAGGAGTCATGGCCAAGGCCAAGCTCCCAGTGCTCCTCAACCCCCAGGAATGGACTGGGAACCACGATGCTCTTCTGGCTTTAGGCGGATAGTGGTCCTGCCCAGTGTCACTGCCAACATCCGGGAATGGCTTTGAAATCGCATCCCGGATGCACCAGCACCTGGCACTTGCAGGGAGCTGATAACCCACAGCTGCACTGTGACCCACTGGCAGGGACGGTCTGGAAAGACAATCTGAGCATTCCTGATTCAGAAAGGACTGGGAATTCCCTCACCTCCGGATTTATGACATACCAGGACTTGGAGCATACACAGAGGAGCCCCAAAATGTCCCATCCACAGCTATCAGAGCGCTTGGATGCAGCAGTTGGCAGGATCCAGCTGTGCGTGGCCAGGAGGACGCAGGGTGCCGGCAGCTTTCCACAGCTGCAGCCCCGTCTCGTCCGGGCACAATCTCCCCTCCAAGCAAGCTCAGCGCTATCAGGCAGAATGATGTCGGCCCTGGAAAGCCTCCAAACCACCATCCAATTCAGGAAAAAAGAGCGTCCCTGCTGCTAATGGAGGAGGTCACCTTCTAACCCAGAAACCACCTCCCAGCCATGCGTGGAAGGTTTCTGCAGGATGTGCATCCCCCCAATCCCAGGACCAGAGGCCCCCATTGAATGCTGCATATGGGGAAACTGAGGCACCAAGTGCTAAGGATGTGCCTGGGAGCTGTGTGATCCTGTGATACAGCTGCACCTCAAGTCACTCCTTTCCCCCCTCCCAGCCCCACCAGGACTGTGAAAATGCTGGGTTCTGTCCTTCTTCCCAATCTGCTGGCTCCAAAAGCAACTGTCAGGGTGCTGCAGGGCAGGGCGGGGAGCTGGCAGCTGCTCCAGCCCTGGTACATCACTGCTGCCTGAAATTAGGCTCAGCAATCAGCCTGGACAGCAGGGCTTAGGGTCTTAATTTTTATACCTCCCCAGCTGAGCACTGGCTCCAGAGCTTCACCGCATCTCGCTGCGTTCAGGTAAGGCTGTTCCTGCTCCCACCTTGCAAGTGGGGAAACTGAGGCAGGGATGAGATTAGGGCTGCTCCTCCTCCTCCAGCTGAGCCCAGAGGTGCTGCTCCCACTGGGGACATCCCTGGGGACATCCCTTGATGTCTGCTGTGTGACATCTCCCAGGAATGCCGGGGCGGACCCGACCTGGGGAACAGGTCAGGGCACTGGCAGACAGTCAGGTTCAAGAACAGCTGCCCCAGGCTGTTAGCACAGCCACACCAGCCCTCATTACCATTGACCAGAAGGAAAAGTGTCCCTTGTTATCAAGGATGCAAAAGACAAAACTTTGTCATCAAATCACCAGTTTCAGCTCATGCATTTAGTCTCCTCCACCCTGAAATACCTCCAGCGCAAAAGGAAACCTTTTAATATCTGCTGGTGGCAAAATCATTCCTCCAAGCTCACATCACAGACAGAGACAACATCCTCACTGCTTGCAGGTCCCTGCCTGGTTTTGAATGTGTTATTTATAGCTCAGCTATTCTCCTGCTCTTTCTATCAAACACAGCTCCTATTGAGTTCAGGGGCAAAGACGTTTCACTGGGAAAAAATAAGCAGCCTGGATCAGGAGAAGTTTCCAGCCTGGTTACCCCGTTTTTCAGCATCTGGAGCAACACTGGTGTGATTTCACCAGGCTGGTCACATGAGAAATTGCAGCCTTCTCCCGAAGACAGCAGAACACACGGTCTTAATCCCCCTGGGGACTCTAATGGACGTGATAAGACGATAATGAAATGGGCTCCTCCCACATCCGTGTGCTCAGGCACACCAGGCACCAGCGTCTCCCAGGAGGATGAAAGCTGTGGTACGTGCAATCCTGCTGGGTTCTGCTGTGGGAGCAGGGATGCTCCAGCTGGACCCAGCTGCCTGGGGACAAGCCAGCAGGAGCGTCAAGTGTTGGGCACACCTTCCTGCAGGTCAGTGGGACGCGTGCTCCTGGGCATCCCCAGCCCAGACCAGCCCCCTCCTCGCTGCAGGGAGCCCGGTTTCCCGGCTGTGTCACTGGAGGACACGTGCCTGTAGCCATGGAGCATGATCCAGACTTTTCAAAGAGCCCCTTTCTCCAGCCTTCAGTGACATTGTCCCTGCTAACGACTACACAGGAATTAGTCAAAAGCCTGTGACTGCCTCCCAGCGGGATCTGTATCAGGGACCCTTCACCTCTTCACAGCCGCGCCTGACCACACCAAAACCAATTATTTCCCACAGCCAGCTCTGCCTGTACGTGCTCTGCAGAGCTGTGACAAACGCTTTCAGTATTCACATGGGCACCACGTGTCCTTTCATCACCACAACTGACTCTGCAACCGCCGGGGGCTTTCCTGCAGGCTCCGAGGTTCCTGCTCCCACAGCGGGTGAGCAGCTCCTTCCCAGTGCCCCCACCCAGTGCCCAGGCAAAGACTCCCCTTACCTTGCCATCCTTCTCACGTGCCTTTTTGCCTTCCATTCATCCTCCTTCTCAAAACAACCTTTCCCGCTCGTTGTGCATCGTCCTGGGCAGGCGTCCGTCGTGTTTCTGCAAGAGGAAGAGGAGGAGTGGTCCTGGGGCTGCTCACAGACATGAGCTGTTCACAGTGTGGTGGGTTTGCAGGGCTCAGGGGTTCTGCAGGTATGCTCCCAAAGTGTATCATGTTTGCACGTGTTCATCCCACCACAGCCCATAGATGGGGAAGACCAGCCCAGGCCCAAGCTCAGGCTCCATCACAGCAGGAACTCAGCAGCCTTGGGAGCTGAGACAGATCAAACCCAGCCATGGTGATGCCCATCAAAAGCACAGCCAGGGAGAGAACAGCTGTACGAAAAGAAATGCTATGCCAAAGGAGAAGAGGATGAGATGGGACCAACAACAGCCTCGTGACGTTTATTTCCCTCTCCCAAGCACATGTGTCCCCAGGGACGCCAGGCTGGGTGACCTCTCTGACCCCTGGGTGGACAACAAGTCCTGGACCAGCTCCTTCCCCCAGCAGCCAGAGCACACTGGGATGCTCCCCAAGATTTGGTTTCCTGAATCTCACTCTGTGTTGCTGGACATCGAGGAGAGACAACAAGCACCCTCCCCTGGCCCTCCCACCACAGATCTGCAAGATCAAGACCACTGGTAACCAAGAGAGAAAGAGAAAAGAAGCACCTGCGAAGGCCTGCAGTGATTTCCTGGGTGTTCCTCAGAAAGAACCATCAGGGCACAAGTACTCTCTTCCATGGCTCCACCGTGATTAAAGATAAATGCATCATCTAATTAAATCACCTAATCAGGGCCTCAGCGTGGTTCGATCCATCTCCTCTTGCTGGCCCAGTGCTGGGGCTATGGGAGCAACTCTGTGCAAGGTGATGGGTCGTGATGTGAAAGGCAAAGAGATGCTGACCCCACCTCTGCTGTTCCACGCTGCTTCTGATGATTAATTGCTCCTGCTTGTTAAATATTTATGCCTTATTTCCAATGTGTCTGCCCTCAGCTGCCAGACATTGATTCTTGCCATGCTTTTCACTGCCCAATTAACAAGCTTTTGGTTACCATGTATTTTCTCCTCTGTGAGAATATTTAAATGTTTTTGTCAAGCTCCCCCTCACTCCTATTTCACTTGATTTATGAGTAGACTAACTGGATGGCCACCTCCTCTCTTGCTGTAATACATTTTCTGCAGCTTCTTGGTCCCTTCCCCTTGGATCCCACGTCTCCCCCGCTGAGATGGAGAGTGGATTTGGCTGCCATAAGCCCAAATTTGGTTCCGACCAAAAATGCAAACTGCTATTTTTTTCTAGAGCAAAACTTCCTGTTACCCTGAAAGTTTTCAGTTCTCCAGCGCTGAAATTGGGACAGACACACAGCCACCCCCCAGGCAGCTCCCTGGTGAGCCCTTGTGCTGCCTCTCCCAGCATCTGCCAAAAATTTATTGTCCAGATTAGGGACAGGAAAACACATACAACTCCGGTTATTATTTCTGGGTGTAAAAAGATTTCCATTTTCCATTCTGCTCCTGTCAGGATGCCTTTCGCTCGCCCAGTTTACCATCTGGATTTGTAGACAGTATTAACATTCTGCTGCTCTGGGTCAGCCCCAGGTTTCTCCAGAAATCATTTCTATCTCCTTTATTCCAGATTAGTGATAAAAACACTGAGTGCATGTTACCAGCTAGCAGTGCCCAGCAGTGATAATCTCCCTGATAACTGCCTTGGAAATGGATCACGTTTATTTAATACCAGGTTTCTTGACACTGTCTAATGTCAGCTCTAAATACTGGACTGGACTGACTTTTTTAATGCTGGAAAGTGCAGATTTTTACAAGAATATCACCTCCCGTAACTCAAATGCTTCATAGAATTGTGTTACAGCCAGAGAGTCACCTCTCACATTGGAGACTGAAATCATTTCTACTTGCCAGGAGTTATTTTCCATACAGCCACGCTGGATGGCAGGAATTTATTCCTGGTGCTGAAGTCTTTAATCAATTAAAGCCTGAGCCAGGTTTCTCCCTCTTCTCCCTGTGGGGATGCTATCAAGCCAATCAACCTGTAGCTACCAGGTCATCTTACTCCCTTTTGGGAAGAGCAGCAATGCTATTAAAACACTTTTTAATCTTCTGGAATTTCCCCGGGGCTCGTCCCGGCGCAGCAGAGGCAGCTCTGCACGGATGGGCAGTGAGATTTCAGCTACAACCATCCCAAAACGGCAACCAGAAAAGCTGTTTCCTCAGATCTCTCTTTGAAAATTTTCCCTTCTCTTTCCTCCCTCCTTTCTTTTTTTTTTGGATGGAAACCACTGGAGTTGCAGCCTTGGTCTAGTGGCAACAACCGCAGCCTGGATGCTGCGAGCAGAGGGAGAGGCCGCCCCGGCACTGCAATGTGGAACAAATTAGACCTCAGACAGCAAAGGAAATGAGAACACCCTGGATGCGGTGGCTTTGACGTGCACTCCTCGGCTCCAAATCCTGCTCTTCTGCAGATCCCATCCCTAGGGCAGAGCCCAAACCCCTCCGCTCTGAACCGGAGCTCCCGTTCCCTTCCATTCAGGATCAAGTCTCTGCTTCGGAGCCCAGCCTTTCCTTGTGGGAGCTTCATCCACCTAATCTAGGGACAGATCGGAGGCCAATGATGTCCATGCCAGCCCCGGTGCCGTCTTGAGCCGGATCAGGGCGGGTAAACTCCTTACCATGTTATTATTAGCAGCAGGCACCCTGTGGTAGCACCCTGGACCCCACGGCCCCGGGACTGCTCAAACAGGATACGAAGGCAGTCCTGGTCCTGCAAACACAAACAGTTTGTCCCAAAGGCAGCTATCGCTCCACAAACATTATAACAATTGGGGACCTGATTCTACAAGGACAACAGGAGACCTTTCAGCGGGTTTTCTTTTCTCGCATTTTTTTTCCCCTATAATTATTTTGCAAGGTCTTTTGAGCCACCAACGTGCACCAGCTCTCCGGTAATGTGCCAGCACAGATGCCAGCCCTCTGCCCAGGCAGCTCTATTCACACATACACATACACAAGAAACGCTGCACAAAGAGCATTTGCTTTCTGCTGCCTCCCGAGCTGCAGAGTCTCCGTAGGCTGCCTAATTATAAGATCTTAGCAATAATTTTTTTCCAGCAATAATTAACTGGTCCTGGAGAGAGCTGAAAATAAGCACTTCCCCAGCAAGTAGCAAACTCCCCTGAGTTTTCTCTGCTAAAGTTACAACTCAGCATGAAACTGCTCCAGCCTCCCGGGAACACAGACCATGCCAGCACCTCCCTGCCACGGTCTGGGACACCACGACAGTCACAGGCAGCCAAATACAGGTGAAATGGTGGGTGTGGAATAGCAGTGGGATCCCAAGGGGTGTGCAATGGGGAGAAGGATCCAAAGGCGTGTGGAATGGGGAGAGAGATCCCAAGGAGTGTGCAAGGGGGAGAAGGATGCCATGGGGCATGGAATGGGGAGAGGATCTCAAGGGGTGTGCAAGGAAGAGAAGGATCCTAAGGGGTATGTACTGGGGAGAAGGATCTCAAGGATTTTGCAATGGGGAGAAGGAAACCAAGGAGTATGGAATGGGTCAAGAATCCCAAGGGGTGCGCAAGGGGGAGAAGGATCCCACGAGGTAAGCAATGGGGGAAGGATCCCAAGGGATGTGCATGGAACACGGATCCCCAAGGGCAGGCAATGCGGGGAAGGATCCCCGCGGTCTCGGCCACGGGACAGGGACCCCCGGGCGCTGCGGCTCCCGGCACAGCCCTCCCGGCGCGGTTCTCCGGGCAGCGGGGAAGCGCGGGTCTCCCACGGCAACCGGGACAAGCCTGAGCCGCCACCGCCGCGCTCCTCCCCACCGCCGCTGCCGGCGGGGGCGAGAAACAAACGCTCCCTCTCCCCGAGCCGGCGGGGGGCGTCCCGGGACGCAACAGGGGGGGGGATGCTGGGGGGGAGGGTGTTAAAAAAAAACTGGGGTCCCTTGGGCAGGGTCTGCCCTCACCACCCCCCCGGTACTCACCGCGGAGCGGGGCAGCCTCGGCGCGACCCCGGCGGCGGCAGCGCCCGGAGCCGCCGGGGCTGCGCGGGGCGCTCGGATCGGGCCCGTCCCGCCGGGGCGGAGCGACCGCGCCGCGCGCGCCCCCGCGCGCCCGCCACCGGCACCGCGCGCGGCCGGGACGGGAAAGGGGGTCCTGACCCCTCTGCCCCGCGGGATGAGACTGACAGACGGACAGACAGACACATACACACACACCCCGGGGCACCGCGTGCGGCTCTGGGGTCCGCAACGCGGGGAGGATGTGGAGGTGTTGGAGAGAGCCCAGGGGAGGCTACGGAGATGCTCCTGTGGAGACAGGCTGGGAGAGCCGGGGGTGCTCAGCCTGGAGAAGAGAAGGCTCTGGAGAAACCTTAGAGCCCCTTCCACTGCTTAAAGAGGCTCCAAGAAAGCTGGAGAGGGACTTTGGATAGGGGCATGGAGTGACAGGACAAAGGGGAATGGCTTCCCACTGACAGAAGGCAGGGTTAGACGGGATATTGGGAAGAAATTCTTCCCTGTGAGGGTCATGAGGCTCTGGCACGGGTTGCCTGGAGAAGCTGTGGCTGCCCCATCCCTGGAAGTATTTCAGGCCAGGTTGGAAGTGGCTTTGATGAACTTGGTCTAGCGGAAGGTGTTCCTGCCCATGGCAGGGGGTTGGAACAAAAAGAGCTTTAAGGTCTCTTCCAACCCAAGCCTTTCTAGGATTCTAAGAAAATGCCAGGAGCAAGTCAGGCAGGGCTGCACTGGCAGCAGCACCTCACCTGCACAGGCAGCTGTTGATTTTGGCCAAACAGGTTTTATCAAACCAGCTCCAAAGTTGACCTGGAGACTGCTGAGGCTGCGCACAGGCTGGTGGCTGAACCCAGGAAGGGATGGATCATGGCTGCAGCAGGGAGTTGTTCAAGATGAGGTGGTCACTGATGCTTTGCTTCCCTTGGTGAAAATGTCTCCTTTTGCTTAAAGGGGTGTTTCCATGTCCAGTGGTGCTGAGGTGCTTTGTGTGGGAAGGTGATTCTGCCATCCAGACACCCTCTGGGAATGACAGCACCAAAGCAAAGCAAAGCCAAGAGGCCTCCCAGTCCAGCCCAATCGCCAGCAGCAAAGAAATGATGGGCGAGGTGGAAGTTGTGGGTCAGGTTTTGGAGTGAGTTCAGCTGCCCCTGGAAGCAGGGAATCCTCCCTGGCTTTCTGGGAAAACTGCTGAGCATTGCAGCCTGGGAGAGATTCAGCTCTGTGTAATTCTGACAGAGAAGTGCAAGCGAGAGGGCAGCTGGTGGGTGTTCAGAGCCCGGGGCAGGCAGCACCACCTGCCCAACTCCCAACTGGATGGGGGACAAACTCTCCCTCTCCAAGAAGAGCCAGTGCCCGTGGGAGAGGCTGGTGGGAGACGCTGGGTGATGATGGGTTTCCTCTCTGGGGTCCACGGTGAGCTGTGCTTACCCTCTGCCCAGTCTGCCACAGGTTTTCCACCTCCATGGGTCTGGCATCCTTCATCCCCCTGTAGTGCCACCCCCTGGGCTCCACAGGTCACCTTCCAACTCAGCCACGCAGGAGGGTAAGTGACAGGTCTGGAGTGGGCATGCAGGGCTCTACGCTGGAGCCACTTGGGTGAGATGCTGATGAGCCTTTCAGCACCTCTGGGCGCAGGGGAACACTGCCAACAAACTCAACAGTTTATTTATTTTGAAGGAAACTCTGCAGCTTGGAGCTCAACCTGTCCCCCACCCAAATTTCCCCGTGTGTCTGGTGCAAAGGACAAAGTAGCTCTGGCCCCTCCTGCAAGCAGAGCCAGCAGCTGGCAGAGCCATCCCTGCATCGAGGTGAGTCAGTGCTCAGCATCCCATCGCCCTGCAGTTGGTTGAGTGGCTCCTCTCCTCACCCGGGGAGCAATGCCACATGGGATGAATCAGGTAGAAAATGGGTTTATATGCAGATGTTGCAGGGAAACTAATTTTGATTTAACAAGCAGGCAAGAATGAGGTATCTTGAGTTTTTATTTCAATCCTACTCCACAGGAAACAATATTCACTAGCGTTATCTTCCTTATACTTGTTTGTATTTGACCCAATACTCTGTTAAATATAAAATACTGATTGAACAAGGATGGATGGTGAAAAACATGAGATGCTAAAAAGTTGCCTCAAGCCCTCCTCCACAGACATCCTGAATGTTGAGAGTCACTTAAAATTAGTATAAAATAGGAGGACAATCCGATAACTTGCTCTGTGCCCCCCCCCAATCCTGTTTTGCAAGGGGAGGATTTAGGAGCAAGAGAAGAGGGGGGACTTCTCAGTTACAGAGAAGCCCATTCAGCAAATCCAGGCTGAAGGTGGTGATGTCCTAGATGGAGCCCGACCACCCATTCCTGCCCGGACATCTGTCCTGCCCTGGATTTTCAGCAGGAGACTGAAATGAAGTAGCCCCAGAAAGGTCCTTCTGGCACCTCCCTGTGCCTCAGGAGCCCCTGGGACAGATTTAGAGCCCAAAGCCACCGATGGCAAAATGGTTTCCAAGTTAAATCCCTTGGGATGAAGCCCACAGACAAAACACAATGGTGGTCCTTGGGCATCCTCAGGCCCTGGCAGGGGACGTTTGCCTATGGCTGTTTGCATGGTCTGTCCCCAGGGTGGTTCCCCATGGATTTAGTGGTGGAGGGGGAGGAGGGCCAAGCACCCTGAGCCATAGTTGTCACTGTGGCCCACAGTGGCTCTGGGAATCCAGTCCCCCAGACTCGGTGAAAATTGAAGCACGTGTTTGTGAAGCACTGGCTGTCCTCCAAGTGCTTCACGGGGTCCTCACATGAGCCCTGTGAGGTAGGTTGGTGTCTTCACCCCATTTTACAGATGGTGAGACTGAGGCACAGAGAAGGATAATGACTCGTCAGACAGAAAATATGGCATCTCCCATTCTGGGACCTCTGTATCCTGCTACTCCAACACCAGATATGCCCCATCAACTGCTGGTGACTCACAGCTTGTCCTTCTCCACCCCTCCATCTGTGGTAGGTGACAGAGCAAGGGCTGGGACCTGGGGGACCAGGAGAGGCAGCAGCAGAGCCTGGGCTCACACGAGCTCGTTCATCCCATGTCCCTAAGACCACTTGTCACCCCAAGGGGAAACCCCAGCCCAAAGGCTGGTTTGGGGTGCTCTGGGCAGAGACCCCCAGCAGCCCCATGCTGCACTGGTGTGCTGGGCACAGCACCCAGAGCCCCTTATAGGAAGTGAAAACCCACTGGATTTTTTGCCAACCTGGTGACCAGAGCGTCGGGAGGGGCTGAATATCCAGATGCTTCCTCTTTGGTAATCTGCTGCAAAGTGGCACACCCCTGCAGAGCTGGTCCCAGGGCACTGCAGGCTGGGGAGGCCTCAGCTCTGTGAGAGGTGGGGCAGAGCCAGGAGCTCGGCTCCTCAGCATGGAGACAGAGAAACGGGAGATGGAGGATGGTGGCCGTAAATCTCCTTTGCTTGCCACGTCACACCAAGACCTCTGCAGCTGTGATTAATCGAAGGCCAGAAAGAGATGATGGGAAATCGATGCCTTCAGGGCTAACAGGGAAGGTGCAGGCAGGACTGGGAGCAGATCCCAGCATGTACCACAGCCCGGCACACACCAGACCCTCCTGGCTCCAGCAGCTCTGCCGGTGTGTTTGGGGAGCAACACCAGGTGTGGGTTTGCCATTCCAGCACCATCAAGGCTGCTCCCAGCAACCGGATGGATGTTCCATGTCTTGTTATCCTGTGTTAGCACTTTGTGGCCATGGTTAGGCATTTAAAAATGGAGCATCACTAGGATCTCCCTGTCCCAGCTCACCTCCAAGCATCATGCGGATGCATTCCTTCCCTGCAGCAATCCTGGGAATGTCAGAAATCCTCCCGAAAGTGGAATTAAATCTGATGAGCAACAGGCTTATCATCAAAATGGAAGCAGAGAAGGCAGGAAGCCCCGTGATCCCAGTCCAAGGAGGTTCACTTTCCTCCCTCGAAGAGAAAGGGAATCCCCTGAAGCGGATGGGCTAGCCCCACTCAGGGGGATGCCAGGAGCTGGATCCCAGCTCTGCTCCCTGCCAAAGGCACACGTGCAGCAGAGCCTGGGAGGGGGCCATGCTTTGGGCTGCCACTGGCACCAAGGCCGAAGAGGAAAGCAAAGCACCCCAGGGAGAAAATGTCCATGGGAGCTCCCAGGGCCCGTCTAGGAGGACGAACCAAGTTGCGCACTTAATATTGGCTTAGAGGAAGGGTTTCCCAGTGCTCGGGGACTGGGGCGCCCTGGAAGAGATTCAAGTTTCAATCTCATATAAGGCTTGTTGAGTCTGGACCTTCCTGTCAAGCACTTGGGAGGGAGCAGTTAATGCTGACACGACTTGGGACCACTTAGGAGCCGAGTCCGGGTGGTGCAGGGCTGTCACCATGCCCCCCCTCCACCACTGGGTCTTTCCCTCCACCCTGACACCTCCAGTCCCCTGGGTGGCTCATGCTAAGGACTCCGGTAGCCAAACCCAGGGTGTCACCAGCCAGGAGCATGTGGGGCCAAGGTCCTCACTCCCATGGGATGCTCGGAGCCAGGTGAGTGAGCGAAGCCCCTGGCAAGTCCAGTAGGTGAAGCCCCCTATTACCCACAGCCCCTCAGTCGGTCACCTTGTTATGAAACCTTTGCCTAAAAAAATAAAACAGTTCCCGAGGTTAAAAAAGAAAACCGCTTAAAATCGACCTCCAGGCTCTCCTGTCTGTGCGGGAGGGGCACTAGTGGCTGCTGCCTGTGGGGCCAGGGGGTGGTTTGGGGTGAGCCCACAGTGCAGGCTCCCTCCCCACTCCCCTCCGTGCCCCCGTGTGCCCGTCGGCACAAACAACGTCTTTAAGGCTTCTACCGGGACGTTTTTGTCTCCAGCGCTCCGGGCCGGTAGAGGTACCTCCAGATGGCGTAGTAGTGGATTCCAGCTCCGATGGCCACGAAGAGGTGCCAGATGGCGTGGGCGAAGGGGATGCGGCCATCGCTTTTGAAGAACACCATGCCCAGGCAGTAGAAGAAGCCACCAGCCACCAGCTCAGGGAGG